ATTATAAAACAAATACATTATACACTCTAACAAATCTCAAGAATAGGTATTCTTAATTTACTTCCTAATGCTGACATAGAGAGAGAGAGAGAGAGTGAGTCGTGTGCCAATGGCGTTTTTCCTCTTTGCCTAGTCGGCTGTTGAACAATTGCGAACATTGATTTTTTGAAGAAAACAAAATAGGAGAATAAACTGAGCGAAAGGCTGTGTATTTCTAGTTTTATAGTTGGCCTCGGCCCTTCCAATTCCTAAAGGTCCGGGCTAACATAAACGACCCCGAGTTAGCTTTTTTATTTACTTTATTAGAAATTTGAGTTCTTACAACTTCTATTATTATACATATAAAATTGCTTCAGCTTATTTGATAATTTGTCCAAACATATATTACAACATATTATATTACAGCATATTAATCTAACCACAAAGTCCTTTAACTATTTGATTTTAACACCTTCAAAAAAATGTAACACAAAACCCCACGTTTATGTTTTTCTCTCATTCTCTTCAGTTATTCTCAACAAATATATACGATTAATTGCTTTTAAAAGCTATTTTAATAAGATTTTATAAAAAAAAATTATTTTTAAACTAGAAACTAATAAATTTTTTAAAAAAAAACCCAAATATTTTAATTTAAAACAAAAAATTTCTTCTTTTTTTTTTTTTTTCCACCTTTTTTCCTGTAATTCGGTTCAAGACTCTGTAAACTGTCACGACATTGATTCCGGTTAGCTCCTTCATGGGTCCGACAAGACTCAGTAAACTGTCTCAACATTGATTCCGGTTAGCTCCTTCATGGGTCCGACAAGACTCTGTAAACTGTCCCGACATTGATTCCGGTTAGTTTCTACAAGGGTCCAGCAAGACTCCGTAAACTGTCACCACAACTGTCACAACATTGTCTGCTACAACGGTCCGACATGACCCCATAAACTGTCTGCTACATCGGTCTGACACGACCATACCGTGTCTCCTATCCTGTTTTATTTTATTTATCAGTTTATTTTTCTGTTTTGTTACTCTCTCCAAACTCAAGTTGGCTAGTGCCTATCCTCCTTGAGTTTGAGGGGAGCTGTTAATGTAAATTGTGTAAATGTAAATTACCACTACCACTCACTCCACCTACCACCTCCACTTCACTCCACCTACCACCTACACCTACTACCACATTCTCTTCTATATATAGGAATTGTAAACATCAATCAATACAATCAATCAATAATACATACAATTTATCTCTATCAATATATTTTTTACATAATGCCTCTGCTCATGCTTGTCTAGGGGGTCATAGCCATTGAAGAGAATTGGAGGAGAACTAGGGCGGTGTTTGATTCGCTAGAATGAAGGTTGGTATGAAATGGTCACTCCATCGAAATACCCATTCCTAAATTTGGTTCAGTAGAAATGAAAGAATGTACATCCCAACGGAATCACAATTCACCAATTTAGAAAAATGGTCATTCCGTTGAGCATGTCCAATGGAGTTGGTATAATTGTTGCTATTGCTAAATTATAGCAACTTTGCGAAAAAAGCAAGCTCTTGTGAGAGCATCTTCAATGCTAAAATGCTAAAATAGGTAGTCAAAGTTAAATTTTGGCAATGCAATAGTATGAAAATTTCAAATTTTAGCAATGTTGCTCCACCGGTGCACTAGCTATTTGTTCTATTTTCTTTAGAAAAATCAAATCAAAATGTTATTTGTGGGTCCCATTAAGAAAGAGAAAAAATGCGCTCTAGGTAAAATTTGACATTTTGCCAAACCTTGTGTCAAATTTGGTACAAAATTTAGCAATGCTATATTTTGACAACCCTTTTAGCATGTCATTGGTGCTTGTTTTCTTTGTTCAAGTTGCTATAATTTAGCAATAACAATCACTATAGAACCTCCACTCACCAAATGGGTTGCCAAACTTTGTACTAAATTTGGTACAAGATTTGACAAAATGCCAAATTTTAGCAAGAGCTCAGTTTTCTCTTTCATAACGGGACCGTAGTTGTCAAATCGAGAATCATATCGTGAATCGAAATCTTAATTTTGCAAATCGTGAATCGAATCGAGAATCATTAAGATTCGGTACAACAAACTATAATAAATGATATCAAACATTCTATATATGAAAAAGAAATGAAATAAATTGATTTTGGCACATGTTATAAAATAATTCTCGTTTAAGGACATGTTTACACCACCCAATTGGGAAGGCATTTCCTTCGTAGCAAGAGACCTAGGTCCAAATCCCAACAACCATAAAAATTATTCAAAATCCGCAATCTAATTTTTCTTAACATTCAAAAAATGGTGTGAGAACTCTATATAGAATATAATAAGAAGAACGATTAGGTGAAATTCTTTATCTTAAAACGTAAAACACTTTAAGAGGTATATATGTTTGTTGTTCAAAAAAAGTTTTAAAATAAAATAATTTTGTGAAACCATCCAGTTTGACTGACTTAACCATGTAATATTGAATTACATTTATTTCACTAAATAGCAATAGATAATTTATAAGTGCAAGTTATTTTAACCTTAAACATCCTTAAAAGATATGCTATGATATTCTTTTTAAGGAAAAAAGACTTTAAGGACATCGTGGCTTTGACTGAATCTGTTTGAATCCTTTTAAAAACCTCTAATCACCAAAATAATAACAAATCATGCATATGTATTAATTGTTTTCATATCAAAACACTCTTAGAAGTTGTATTATGTCATTTTTATTACTATAAAAAAAAGAGTTAAAAATGGTAGAAAATTATCTAACACGATGGTTTTAAGAATTGTATGAATTGTAAAAAGTGAATCAAATCGTAAATCGATTGTGAATTATATGATTTACCATAAATTCTATCTCCAAATAGATTTACCTATAGATTCATATTGATCTATGCATGAATTGCAAATTGAATTGTAAATTGAATAGTGAATTGTAACATTTTGATAACAGAGAATGGGACCCACAAATAGCATTTTGATTTGATATTTTGTAAAGAAAATAAAAGAATGGCTAGTGCATTGCTAGAGTAATATTGCTAAAATTTAGCATTTCTACATTGTAGCAATGCAAAAATTTGGCTTTGACTAAATTTTTGCTATGTTGCTCCATTGGTGCACTAACCATTTCTTCTATTTTCTTTACAAAAGGTAAAATCAAAATGTCATTTGTGGGTCCCATTATGGAAGAGAAAGGGGGAGGTGCTTTAGCTAAAATTTGGTATTTTGAAAAAATCTTGTGCCAAATTTGACACAAAGTTTGGCAATGCCATATTTCGGCAACCCGTTTGGCATGCCATTGGAGGTTGATTTTGGGTGAAGTTGCTATAATATAGCAACTCCATTGGAGTTGTCTAAGGAATAGTCATTACATTCCTGCCCAAAATCATTCCAACGAACCATAACATCACCTAGCTGTGCAGAGCAAGGGAATGTAGTTTACTGTTGCTTAGTGTTACAGTTTTAGGATGTTCCTTTCATCCTATATCAAGTGGAGTTTTGTTGAATGTTACACTCTAACAGTTTCGTTATTTCACAACGCCTAAATTAAACTATAAAATATATCACCATGTACTGTATGGATATATATTTTCCATTTATGTACTTATTGTATATCTTGCAAACAAAGAAGGGGCTCTTTGAAACTCTATCAACCTTGGAAATGTAAACCGTAAGCAGTTCTCCTTTACGCATGACTGATAAATGCAACAGTTTTGGTTTATTATGCTCTAAAATTGTTTCGTAAACTTGCACCAGATAACTTATGACGGAAAGCTTTGAAGTGTTCCCATTTCTGAATGTGGAAACTGTTGAAAAGCTTGATATCAGATTGTTTGGGCCTCATTTCCTAAATGCTTGGGCTTTTGGGAAATTGATAATTAACATGGTATCAAAGCAATGGTTGAAGAGGTCTTGGGTCCAAGTTTTCATATTGACATTTTGTTTCAGTCCCGTTTGATATCTTCTTTTTCTATTTGGTTTGCTCTGCTTCTCCTTCGCTTGGTTCTCTGTTTTGTCTCTCCACGCAAGACGAGGTTGCACACGAGGGAGGGTGTTGAATAGCTTGATATATATTGTTGGGCCATTTCTAATAGCTTAGGTTTTTGGGGAAAATTTATAACTTAAGAAGATACAGAGGATTGTCATTCGTTGATGATAGCTTGGTTTTCTTATTATTTTCTTTTCCTTTCTTTTTTTCACTGAATGAACATTTTCTATACTTCTATATGTGGATAAATCTATGCCTGTCAGATTCACAGTTGTTCTGAAATGGCGATTCAAAGTCTCAAGTTCTTCATTTTTAGGATGCTTAAGCATGTTTGTTCCATATAACTTGTGCTTGTTATTTGTAAAGCACAGAAGGTACCAATCTTGTCTCCGGCAGTTTTATAAACAGCATGGAGTGTGGAATACCTGTCTTGAACTAAATGACTTGCTGAGTTATTTTTCCTCCTATAAAGTGAAGCTGTTAACCATGTAAACACAACTATCACCCTAACTTTCACAGTACCATACCTCATCATGTTGTCTTTTCTCAACCTCTTATCTTATCAGTGGCTTGTTTGTTGACCTACAAAACTAGCTCAATATATGTCTATGTTGATTCTTGACTTTGAATTCATATTTAAAAAATAAAAGTAAAAATCAGAGATTATGTTTATTATGAGGAATTTTTGCTCGCTTGTCAATATAATCTCAATGCTGCTGGATCAACAGAAGGTAAGTCCCAGTTACGCTGCTGCTGTAAAGAACATTTATGGAGTTAAACTTGGCAATATAGGTTTAAGGGAGACCCTTGTTTTTGTAATTTTATTTGTATTGAGTTTCAGATGTGGAATATTGGATGTGTGATATTGGTATTTTTGAAAGGACATAAAAATAGTAGTTGCATGTTTTTTGGCTGGCCTTGCTGACATATACTTTCTACCCTTTGATACATGGAGTGGCAGCTCATCATATATCTTCTAAATTCTAATGTTTTCTGTGTGACTTGCATATGGGCAGTTGGTTGCTGTTCGTGTGATTCCTTGGGCAAAGGCAAACCTCAATTATACAGCTCAGGCACTCATCATATCTGCTGGTACGATCAGAGTGTATACTTGTTTGATGAACATTGTTATTATATAGTTGAACCTAGAATTTTTCATTTACCCCTCCTCGTGCCAATGGAAGTATTGAGGAGTATGGAAAACAAACCTTGTTTCATCATTTTTACTGGTGCTCCAAAATGCATGACATTTGTTTAAGGATTTGGTATCATCTTTAGGTGAAGTACAATTAAGAGGAAATCACATGTTATATTGACAAATTCATGAGGAATACATGCATACTTGTATCTAGATTGGAACATGCTGTTTTTCCTTGTATTTATTTGTATCTACATATTATTTTCGTGGACTTTTGATGTTTTGTGGTGTATTGGTCTGATATGGTACTGAACTGACTTCATCGTGTCAAAACCTGCTTTTTAAACATTGATGACAATGCATGCTCATTTTTTAGGAAGTGAAGAGTTACGAAATTAAGTTAGGTGGTTCAAGTGTAACTATTACTTCGTTTCTTCAATGATAAGCATTGTTGTTAAATCGTAATCCTAAAAGTCATTTATTTAGCATAATATATAATTATATATATACACACATAAAATACACATATAGTGTTTAAAATAAAATAAGCATCACTATAACTAAAATGTATATATGTATATACATATAAAATTACATATATCAATATAATTGATTAATCTCATTTTTTTTTTAAATTTTTGCGAAAACGGCGATGTTTAATGCATTATGCAAACATAATTTAATCACGGCGAATCAAAATAACTTGATTTAAGATTCAACAACATGAATCAAGTCATTTTGATTGAAACTCATATCGAATCCAATCTTGAATTGTAAGATTCTAACCGCCATGATTATAAGAGTTAATATATATATATATATATATATATATATCATTCTGTCACACTTTCAATTGGAATTATATAATATCATATGAACTATGGAAGTTTAGCAAAGGCTATTGTCAAACAATCAGCCATTTCCTTTTTTGGTTTTTCTAATCTTAATTTGTCATCTGGGTAGGGTGGGTGGTCATCATGTTGGGTTTCAATCTATCTATATATGTTGCTATCCATCTATATATTCAGCAATCTATCTATATCAATTTCCGTAATTTTTGTATATCTATCCGCATCTTTTGCTGTTGCAAAAATCACAACTTTGATTGATGAATCTATCTATATCTCAGTTGATTTCTAATAGGCTCTCATCATAAATGGCTATGTGCCGATGTTTGGAAAATTTGATGACTAGCTTTGTTTGTTGATGAACAGCATCCATTGCTGCATACTTCATCACTGCTGACAAAACCATCCTGGAATGTGCAAGGAGGAATGCACATTATGAAGCACAGCATGATAAATCATCGACCTGAGATTGTTGATCTGATACAGTGCTACTGCAATTCCCCTCCTGTTTTACCACTTTGTGTTCTATGTTGTATGTGTTGCTGCTACTGTCAGTATCATTTTTCAGTACTGTTTGCGAGATAAATGTGTTGTAATGTACCGAGTCAGATTGTTCTCGTCTTGGCACAAGGATTTTTGTTCAACCATTTTGCGTATGTTAACTCTAGCTCCAATGATGAGATAAATGCCTAGTCTTTTGCATATATAACCATTTTCCGAGATAAATGCCTAGTCTTTTGGAGACCTTGTTGAGGTTGTAAAAAGTGAGAATGGTCAGCTATTGGAGCCTGTAAGAGATACTATTAGCACAACATTTTTTTGATTGGCAATACTATTAGCACAACATATACTACAGCATTAAAATAAGTGTTTTTTTATTTTTTTATTATACTGTGCTATCAGTAATGCACTATTACACTAACATATCACTCTATCAGTAATCCTTATATATAACTTGTCTTGATCTTACATCACTGCGACAGTGATGGGGTTTTTTTTTCTTTGGATCAAGTGACAGTGATAGTTGGTTCACTTAAATATAGCTTCTCTTGATCTTATGAATGGCAGCCGAGTATTTTTAGGCCTCAGTCTGAACATAAAAAATGAGGCCTATTTTACTAGGCTTTTGAAAAATTGTGGCTCTTCCACTATAAGGCCCGTTTGTTTTCAGAGATAGAACGGAGGAGATTGATAGTGAAGGAATTAATAGTGAGGGGATTAATAGTGAGAAATTGTTAAATTATTTTTATATAAAATAATAAAAAAATAAAAAAAATTAAACATTAATATTTTAAAAAAAATTTCCAATATATAAAAATAAAAAAAATAAAAAAATTTATAATCCCCTCATTATTTTTTTAATGCCATCTCTACCTTCTCACTATGAATCTTCCTTCCAAGAGTAT